TCTCTCTCTCTCTCTATATATATATATATATATCTATACACACACATATACGTATATACCATATATTTGCGCTTAAGTGTCGTTCCTTTTTCCCCCTGCGATCATCATGCCGCCCACTCCGAATAAGTTAAACTTGAGCTTCGCCAGGAACGCGTACAGCGTGTTTGGGGCGCGTGGTAACGACACCGCCGCTGATCATCAACGCGAGCAGAAAACGGAACTCTTGGAGGGTAAGAGGGCCACACACGTAGATCCCCCGCGTACCTCTATTAGAGATCATTTGGCAACGATTCCGATTGAATCGACCTTGATGAATGAAATCGCCTTTCATAAATATCACGCTGCGAATAGTTGCTTTTAATTGCCACGTCTTGTCTTGTCCCGTTTCGCTATTCAATTCGGACGATATTCTCGGTCTTAATCGTGGGTCACGTTTCTGTTATTTCAGGTACCAAAAGTAACGGACTTCGCCACGTTAAGAATGGTGTCGATTACGTCAACGCTGGTGAAGAAGACCAGATGGAAATCTACGGGTAAGTGAGTAGCAATTGCAACGGTTCGACACCAGGATCGGAGTAATTTCAACAGTTTCCTTCGATTTCTTCAGATACAAGAACAACAAGATACTAACTGTTATCATCTGGTTTCTAATTATCATCACCGGAGGCTTGCTCAGGCTGGTCTTCCACTGGGTACCGCATCTGATGTTGCTAGCCACCCATTCCAGATGCCGATTAGAAGCAGCAGACACCGTTTTGCTGGTGGAGAAGTTCCAGGGGAAACACACGAGCTACTACGTGAAGAAATTGAGGACCTTGGCTGCTCAGGATGTACTGTAGGTGTCTCAACTGTAATAAATTCCACCCCAATTTCCGTTTTAAGACGATATTCTTCTTTTCTTTTTTTTTTTTACTCCTTCTGAAGTAACAAACCATTCGACGGAGAGTCATTGATGGATAACGAACCATGGATGGAGAATGGCAACATGATTACCATCAAGGAAGTGAAGGAAGAGTATCCCACCCTGTCGCTGCATTTAGTCGGTGGACAATTCAAACGTAGGTATTAAGAAATTAGAAATGACAGTGTTTCGTTCTAATAACGAGGTATTTTGTTTGTTTTTTTTAACAGAGGTTCCGTCGATCGTTTTCTTTCATTGCAAAAAGCTAACTTACGTTTGGGACCCCGAGAGATCCGAGTTCCTGAAGCTTCGAGGCATAGACGTTGGTGTCTTGACTTCCACGTTGCATCAGATGCCAGGATTGAACTCGCACGAACAACATATGAGGTCAATCTCATTGAGATCCTACGGAACGAGCAATTTACCTAATCTAACGCTTCGTTAAAAAAAAATGTATCTCTCGTGTTATTACAGGCGCAGCGTTTACGGAAACAACGAGATAGTGATCCCAGTAAAGAGTATCCTGACACTACTCTGCCTCGAGGTTCTCAATCCATTTTACGTCTTCCAGATATTCAGCTTCTGTCTCTGGGTTGCAGACAACTATTACTACTATGCCATGGTCATTCTGGCGATGTCCAGCGTCAGTGTGTTGATGGCAGTCTTCCAGACTCGTCGGGTAAGCAATCTCTCTTCCTCGTCTTGCGTAATTCTCGACGGTATTATTAATAATTAGTCCTTCGGTTTTGCAGAACCAACACAATCTAAGATCTACCGTGCACTCCTCTGACGTAGCAACGGTGATTAGAGATCGCGCAACTGGCCAAACGGCGACCGTGCCCGCTGAGAAATTGGTACCTGGTGACATTTTGGTTATCCCATCTCACGGCTGTCTGATGCCTTGCGACGCTGTGCTTCTTACTGGAAATTGCATTCTGAACGAGTCGATGCTCACCGGTGAATCGGTCCCCGTTACCAAAACACCTATTCCTTGCTCCAACGAGATCGTCTACGACACCAAGGAACACGCGAGGCACACACTCTTCTGCGGCACGAAAGTTATCCAAACCAGATACTACGGGTCGGAGAAAGTTCTGGCTGTCGTTGTGAGGACAGGATTCGACACCAGCAAAGGTGGCTTGGTTAGATCAATCATGTACCCTCCGCCTGTAGACTTCAAGTTCGAGCAAGATTCCTACAAGTTCGTCATCTTATTAGCAGGCATAGCTAGCATAGGCGTGCTATATACCATCGTAACGAAGGCGCTCAAAGGCGTACCTAGCCATCACATCACTCTAGAAGCTCTGGATCTGATCACTATAGTGGTACCTCCTGCTTTACCAGCGGCCATGACAGCTGGCCGTATGGTAGCTCAGCGCAGACTCGAGAAGAACAAGATCTACTGCACGAGTCCACGAACGATCAACGTGTCCGGATCTATCGATTGCATCTGCTTCGATAAAACCGGAACGTTGACCGAGGATGGCCTCGACATGTGGGGTGTGGTTTCCGCTGTTGACAAGAAATTCCAGCTGCCTACCAAAGATATCTCGTCTCTGCCGTTCACCGATCTCCTGATCGGTATGGTCACCTGTCACGGGATCACTTTGATAGAGAATCAACCGGTCGGTGATCCACTTGATCTGAAAATGTTCGAGTCCACGGGCTGGACACTGGAGGAGCCCGATGTATCGGACACGTCCAAGTTCTCCATGCTGTTTCCCACGATAGTTCGACCACCGAAAGGTTCCAAGCTGCTGAAGAAGCTTCCCAACGACCTCAGAATCTCGCTCAGCCGGCAAAACTCGATGTCTTCCGACGTGATGGATAACATTTCTTCGAATAACCTCGACGCCACGTTGGCTGGTTCCACGGCGGATTTGGGGGAGCAAGGTTTAGAGATTGGAATTGTTAGGCAGTTTCCGTTCACGTCTACTCTGCAGAGGATGAGCGTGATCACGAGGACCTTGGGGGCTAATCATTACGATCTTTATTGCAAAGGGAGTCCAGAGATGATCCTGAGCCTCTCCAGAGCAGAGTCCAGTAAGCGATAGATCGAAGATTCGTCTGTATTTTTATGGTTCGTTCGATTCTAATTAATTTCATTGTCGTTGCAGTTCCATCGGACTTTAGCAACGTGTTGCAGTACTACACCTCAGAGGGCTATCGCGTAATCGCTCTAGCACACAAAATTCTGAATCGTCTTCCCTACGCCAAGGTCCAGAGATTGAGCCGCGAGGCAGCCGAGTCCGATTTAACGTTCTTGGCGTTCGTGATCATGGAGAATAGATTGAAACCGGAGACAAGCCCTGTCATTAAGGCTTTAAACACTGCCTGCATCAAGACTGTCATGGTAACCGGCGACAACATGCTGACAGCACTCTCGGTTGCCAGAGACTGCGTCATAATCAAACCAGGTACACCAGTGATCGCTGTATCTGCGACACAGCAGAACCAAATGAAGCCTCAGATCTATTTCACCAAGAGCAACAGTCAACCGTCGAATGGACACGGTGATCTCAGCGAGATGACCGACTTGAACAGCGTAGCTAGCTTAGAAACAATCGAGAGTGGCTCTTTCGGGAATAATCAGTTCGAGAACGATGACAATTACCTGTCAGACGAGTAGGTTCATTCGAGATATCTTCAGTTTCGAGATACAACTTATATCATTTCTAACTACCGTGCAATCTTGCTCTACAGTCTACATCATTCGAAGAACAAATACGTGTTTGCACTCACGGGAAAAACGTGGGCTCTGGTCAAACAGTATTACCCTGAGTTGATCTCCAAATTCGTCACCCGTGGAGCAATCTTCGCGAGGATGTCGCCCGACCAGAAGCAACAGCTCGTTCAGGAATTGCAATCGTTGGGATACTATGTTGGTAGGTGACACAGTTTCCATTGATAATTAGAACTCTCTCGACACTTAAGATACTCATTAAATACAATTTCCAGCTATGGTAGGCGACGGAGCAAACGATTGCGGAGCCCTGAAAGCCGCCCACACCGGGATCTCCCTGTCAGACACCGAATCGTCTGTAGCATCGCCGTTCACCAGCCGCGAGACGAACATTTCCTGCGTTCTAACCGTGATCCGAGAAGGTCGTGCAGCATTGGTCACCTCCTTCGGGATCTTCAAGTACATGGCCAGTTATTCGCTCACGCAGTTCATCTCCGTGATGTTGTTGTACGGTATCGAGTCTAACCTCACGGACATCGAGTTCCTCTACATCGATCTCTTCATCATCTCGATCTTCGCTCTGTTCTTCGGTCGTACCGAGGCGTACGACGGTCCATTGGTGAAAACTGCACCGCTGAACAGTCTCATCAGCACCACGCCGGTTCTCAGCTTGGTCACGCAAATTCTAATCGTCGCCGTGTTCCAATACACCAGCCTCTGGCACCTCAGACAAATGGATTGGTTCGTACCATTCAACGCCACGACCGTCGTTGCCGAGAACAAGGACGACGTGAGCTGCACGGAGAATTACACGATCTTCATCATCAGCTCTATGCAATACATCATTCTGGCTGTGACGTTCTCCAAGGGACACCCTTATCGAAAGTCCCTGTTCACGAATTACGGCCTGCTCGTCGCTGCTATCGCTCTCACACTCTTCTCCGTTTACCTCGCGACTTTCCCTTTCGAATGGCTGGCCACCTGGTTCGAGCTGGTGCTTCCAGAAGGCGTCAGCTTCCGGTTCATCCTGGTCGGATACGGCGTGGCCAATTTCGTGATCTCGTTGCTGATGGAGTACATCTTCGTCGACTACCTCGTATTCAGCAAACTTCGCTACCGCTGGCACAACATTGACAAATCCAGGCGAAAGTTCCTCGCGATCGAACGCGACATGGCGCGTGACTTAAAATGGCCGGCGATCTCGAAGGAACCGCTGCCGGAAGCTGCCCCAGACATCTTGATCCGTCAGAACGTCACCGAGATCAAGATTGAGAAACGCATACCTGAGCCATGCCACCCTGTAGACACAAGTTTCATGAACAGCCCGGTCTGCGCGAACTTCAAGCACTTCGGCTCGGCCAGAGAGGTCACTCTGAACCCTAGATCCTTGTTCAACGATCGTCGTAGCACCATGTCGATGCAGACGGTTCCCTATTTCGAGGACAGAGATTTCGTGGCGAGACAGCCGAACATAGAGCTGGCGGCGAAGAGAAGGTACAACTCGGAGTCCGAGAAGGGGATCAATCGGTACGACAAGCTGTTCAAGAGTTGCAGCACCAATCCGATAGCAACTCTGCCTAGAAACACCGCTACCACCCTTCAGCCGCAGAAATTGAAGGACTTCAAGAACGTTTTGATGCATAAGAGCGAAGACGGTCTATCTCCCACTGCACAAAGTGTCCTTGAACTCGACATACTACCGTCGTAGAACATTCATCCTCGTGGGATTCTGATCGACCGGAAGACGTTGCCTCGAATAACGGACAGTGACAGAGTCGTTTTTAGGAACAACGTACTGTTCGCTGTTCGACGTGTCGTCTGATTTGAAAACCATGTAGACGTGAATACCACGACAGTAGAGCACCGTTAATCTGCCAGAGCATTTGTTGTCCCATGACAAATATGCCAAGACTGTTCAGCTGTTTAAACCAGAAGCCACACCGAGGAACGTCTGGGGATTGGAGATGATCAGAATCGTGGAGAGACGGTGGGATTGTTGAACGAGGAACGACGTGGCCGACACGATCTCTATCCGAAACAAATCGTTCACAGAGTGCATTTAGAATGCCACGGCGTTCACGACAGCTCGGTAGAATTATAAAACCGGCGACAATTTCTTTTTTTTTTTTCTTCTCAGGAGGGACGTCGTGCGGTGGTTTGAACCGGAAGGGTCCCTTTTGACCCGGTCTTTCTTGGTCCTCCTCCTTCTTCTACTCTAGTATTCGAGCATACCACTTTCTCGAGAAAGTATTATCGTTAGTTTATTTATCTTAGGCAAAATGAATTTTAACTCGCCCTGCCGCCAGGGAGGAAGGTTCTTCTCGCAGAAGACGACACCCTTGACGCAGGCCGGTCGAAGTAGATAGGTAGACGCATTATACATATATATTTTTTTGTCCCCTACCCACCTGCTCCCTCTTCCTATTTTCAAACTCCCTCTCGCGCTACGGACCCGTCTTTTTTCACTGCGATTTCAAAAAGGTATAGTTAAGATGGAAGAAGGATATATTATATATACATATATATGTTCCACGTGACAGGGATAGTCATGTGGACGCGAATCGAAATGAATTTTCTAAACTAGGAGACACATAGGAAATTGAGAAATATTCCCGTTTTCACGACGAGTATTTGTTTCCTGTTTTAATTATTCATGGTATCTCTAGTCGGATTTTCGTCGATCGTAACGGTCGACGACAAGTTGCTCTCCAAAAAAAAAAAAAAAAGAAAAAAGAAAACAACGTCGCGGACGATCGTAGGCGACGTTCGTTGGCGACGATAATGACGACGATGATAAATACGATTTCGTCGCGAAAGCAGGAATCTATGGTAGTTTACGTTCTGTTTCTTTTTCCTCAA